CGCTTGGTGATGTGAGAGCCTGGTCCGGTGAGAACCCGGCGTGCTCCGTCCCGGCTTTGTAGGGATGCGAGGTCAATGGTCTAACGACTACGGCATTCACGACTATGAGTACCCCCCCCCATCCCCCCCCGCCCCCCCCCTCCACCGTCCGATCCATCATGGATCTCACGGCGGAGAGTGTTGGGGTGTCTTAGCTCTTAAGTCCTCCACCGCCCAATGGGGGACTCGAGTATTTTTTTTTTTAATGTCGTACACCAATAGACATTAACCTTAGGTAAGCTGTGCTTATTTTGGACTGTACCCTCCTCATCCTCTGGGGGAGGTAAGAGAGGGGGGGGCGCATGGCCTCTATTTTTCACGGGGGTTCGGGTACGGGTTGGGGGTCGGATCTATGTGTAGTGCATTCTCGAATTGTCCCCTCACTATTGCTACTGTGGATTTTCAGTATACAGCTATCCTTACTCAAAGCGTTTATGTGTCCGGCAATCTCCAATACAAAGCAACCTGTGAGGTTTCAGCATGCAGATTTCTTCACTCAATGCGTCTATGTGTCCGGCAGTCGCAAACGTCACTCAACCCGCTAGGTCTCAAAATGCAGNTTGTCCCCTCACTATTGCTACTGTGGATTTTCAGTATACAGCTATCCTTACTCAAAGCGTTTATGTGTCCGGCAATCTCCAATACAAAGCAACCTGTGAGGTTTCAGCATGCAGATTTCTTCACTCAATGCGTCTATGTGTCCGGCAGTCGCAAACGTCACTCAACCCGCTAGGTCTCAAAATGCAGCTATCCTCACTCAAAGCGTGTATGTGTCTGGCACTATCCAACATCACTCAACTCGTGAGGTTTCAGTATGTAGCTATCCCCACTCAGCGCGTCTATGTGTCTGGCAAACTCAAAAATCAATCCATCTGTGAGGTTACCGGTATGCAGCTATCCTCACTCAACACGTCTATGTGTCCGGCAATCTCTATTGCAAATCACCTGTGAGGTTTCAGTATGTAGCTATCCCCACTCAGCGCGTCTATGTGTCTGGCAAACTCAAAAATCAATCCATCTGTGAGGTTACCGGTATGCAGCTATCCTCACTCAACACGTCTATGTGTCCGGCAATCTCTATTGCAAATCACCTGTGAGGTTTCAGTATGCAGCTATCCTCACTCAACACGTCTATGTGTCCGGCAATCTCTATTGCAAATCACCTGTGAGGTTTCAGTATGCAGCTATCCTCACTCAACACGTCTACGTGTCCGGCAATCTACATCACAAATCACCTGAGGTTCAGTATGTGTCTATCCTCACTCGACGCGTCTATGTGGCCGGCACTCCAACATCACTCAACGGGTTTCAGTATGCAGCTATCCCCACTCAACCCGTCCATGTGTCTGGCACTCTCAAACCTCACTCAACCCTTGGGGTTTCAGCTTACAGCTATTATCACTCAACCCGTCAATGTGTCTGGCAATCTCCCACATCACTCAACCTGTGAGGTTTTCGTAAACAGCTGTCCTCACTCCACTCATCCATGCGTCACGCGTCTTTGGTAGCGCATACTATGGGGGCTATATTTGGGGTGGCGTGTTTTGCAGCGCTTTGCCAACAGCGCCAACCCACTTGAGTCTAGAACGGAGGGGGCAAACACCAAGGGGGGGGTCTGTTTTACAACGTCGTTGCCAAGCGACGAAAACCCAACCCCGATGGTAAACACCGAGTGGGGGCGGGGGGGAGTGGTGTAGTCTGGTGGTTTCGCTTGTGCTGTATTTTTTGTGACATTTCGATAAGCCGCACTTCCGGGTGTTGTTGTTAGTGTTGCCGTTGGTGTAGTTAGGCGGTAGGTATCGTGTGTGTTGTTGCCGTTGTCCTGAAGTGTTGGGAGACAGAGGCGGAATGTAAAACGGGATCGTTAGATCGCCGGCCGGAGAAACCACCAGCGGGGCAAAGCCAAAAGATTACCAGCAAATGTGCTGAGAGAGCATGAAAGAGGCGTGGATTATAGGCACAAGCCAGCAGCCAGTTCCAGCGTTTGTTGACCGGCGGCCTTTTCGAATCGCGTGTCGAACCACCGGCCATCCGTTCCCTTCATGGAGCATCCCCTCCCTCGGCTTAACATCGGAAATCTCACGACATTTGTTTTTTTCTCCCATCATTGGACTCTGTCGTCTGCCCCTCTGGCCCGTATCCTCCACATCTACTAGCTAGACGACCCAACCGGGGTCACATAGGAGGGGGGGGCTGAACCCCCTCCTGCGGTTCCTGCCTGAGGTATTTTTATCGCGAGAAGGGTACAGCAATCCCTTCCCTCGCGACTTACGAAGTCGATTATGGTTTACTTACAACGAGCTTTGCAGCGCGCGACTTTCATTCTTGACCAGGATATATTTTGTGAGAAAAAAAACTCACTCTGTCGGGACTCGAACCCACGACGTGACCCTTTTTGGCAGGCTGCGAGGTTACCCACTAGACCACCGGAGCGACCGGTTCGACTGTAACCCAACGATGTCTTGTCGAGGATGACCATCCCTCCTCCTTCCCCCATCGCGTGGCGTGCCGGTCTGCGTAGGGGTATGACCAGGTGGTGCTAACGACGGAGTGGGAAGCGGACGGTCTTCTGGCGGCGTGCCTGCTCTTTTCCGTGGTGACGGCCGAGACTAAGCGGGCCCCTTTCGCGTCGGACGGGACCAAGAGGTGTGAGGACAGGAGTTGCCAGTGGGGGGGGTGTTGTTTGGTGCTTCTATTGGCGAGGTGTGGTACCGACGGCCAGGAGCTCAAGGACTGGTGGTTGCATGGAACCCGAAAAGTCAGGAGCTGCGAGGTCGCAACCCTTCATGATTCAAGAAACTTGTTTTTTACTTTGTTCGTCGCGGCAGCCGTAGCCTGGCTGCCCTTGGAGTAGGCACGTATCTGCGTTTTGGAAGCATCATAGCCTGAAAGAACGCCCGACCGAACCGAACGATTTGCCCACGAATTCGATTGGCACAACGACGATGACGACGACGACGACAATGGCGGCGGTGGCGCTTCGCGTGGCAGGCCATACCCGCTCCGCAACCTCATCGTCGGAGAGGGGAAGGCCAACCAAGCGCGTGAGGCTCTCGAGGCCATGCGCCGGACGAACCTCATCCCGCCCGACTGCCGAGTCGATGTGTTGGAGGCCGGAGAAGGTGCAGCCAAGGGGGAAAAGAGACAGGAGGATAGAGGGATAGAGGCGGAGGAGGAGGAGGAGGGAGGTGGTGACGGTGTATGGCGGTCGTTCTTAGGGTCGTGTTCCGTGCTGCTGCTGCTGCGGTCGACTTTGAGGTGGCTGTTCGGGAGACGGCGAGGCTTGGCCAGGTGCGTCCAATATATTATCTCCGGCTGCGCTCCTTCCATCCCCGGAGCTGGGGGTTGCAAACGATAATGCTGTGTGGTTCTCTAGGTTGTTAGTTTCCGCCTTTGGTCGCCGAGGGAGGTTCGAGCCCACGCTGCTACTGTCGCCTCCGTCGTCTTTGTAGCGGGGCGACAAATCCCCTCCCATCACCAAAACACAATTTTCCTCACATCGTAGAAGTATAAAGTACCACTATTCTCCTCCCCCCTCAAAAAAAGCTCCGGCCCTGCATTGTATTGTAGTGTTTCGAGGTCAATCATCCCACGGCATCATTTCATTAGTAACCTGCCCCCCCAAATGACTACAACATGATAGGACCAAGCTGCGGGAGGTGTTCAATGCGACGAGAAAAGACAACCAGCGGGTCCTCGTGATTGCCCTCAAGCCGCCGCGAGACCTTGTAGAGGTTTTGCTAGAGAGCGGGAGGGCATCGTGGTGGGGGAGAGCCATGGGGAGGGGGGGTGGGAGGCGAGGGTGCAGCCGGTACAAGCACATCGACATGTTCGTTTCCGGGGGGTTCAGCGGTGCGTTCAGGGGCCAAAGAGAGGGGGGAGAGTGTAGCGCGCCCGGGCACTCTCCTCGGGAGCAGCGGCATCGTAGGTGAGAGGGGTCGATATGTGTGTTTTTTTTCTCAAGATTAGTTTTTTTTTCTGCAATTTGTTTTTTCGTCGTTTCCATCACGGTCAGGGTTCATATTTTGGCGTGTCTATTGGAGACGGATACCACGCACGGTTTTTTGTTGAAAAGCAGTCGAGGATGCGCTTTTTATTGTCCTAGGACGGATACTACTCGCTTTCAAGCAAAGCTGCATACACGTAGCCGCCATTTTTTATATCTTGCGGTTTGCGCAGCGGTGTGCATGTTGTTTTGTTTGAGCTTTTGTTGGTTTAGACGCATGAGCGGAGTGATCCAGGAAGAGAGAACTGCTGTTTCATCAACATGCCAATCAACAACGGTAATCAACAACAACAACAACACACCTATAACCCGGACTCTTGCGTGCCGTTGGCAGGCCCTCCGCGGGAGGCGACGAGGAGCTGTCTAGAGACGACGTCGAGGAGGCCTTGGCCAGGGTTAACCGGGTGCTCGTCGTGCAGGTGAAAAAGAGAGGGGCCACGCGGATTGGAATTATTCAGAACAACGCTTTGAATTTGTTTTACGTGACCGGCGTTTGGCATGCTCCCCCTGGCGTTTGAAATGTACCCTCCGTGCCACCGTATGATTCTTGGGGTTGCATGAGCACGACAGCCCTGACAACCACCCCGATCAGTGACAAGTCCCAAACCACCTTTAACAACGCGCCATAACAACCGCCCAAAATCACCATGCCCCGGACAACGACAGCTGGAGGATCTGGTCCGGCCGTACGGCTTTCCGACGGCCATCGCCCCCGACCGCACACCGACTCTGGCGGCAGCCGTGGCTGGGGCGCGGGGCGTTCTTCCCTCCTGCCTGAGGCGTGAGATCGCCGCGTCGAACCACCTGGCGCTCACGGAGTTCCCGGACAAGGTGGCCTCGGCCATTGAGGCGGGAAGGTGGGTGGTGGGCAGACTTGCGTGCGTATGTTCTGACATTGCCGTATATGTATCACTGATCGCGCAGGCCGACTTCCGCTGCTCGATTACTCCACCACCAAGACGGTGCCGATGCCAGAAAAAGGTTTGCACCGTGAAAGACTCTCTCCCTTGTTAGGAAATAGAGCAATACATGGCACCATTGGGTATGTGTGTTGACGTGTGTGTCCGAATGGCTCTTGATGTATTTCGAAGAGAGTGGTAGTAGGCTGCAAGACCGGTGTGAAGCTGGAGGCAGGGCGGGCGGGCGGACAACGAACAGAACGGGGGTGGTATGGAGGCCACTTGCGGCGTCGAAACCTCACGTTTTTGTTTGTTGTCTTGCACTGAATCAAAAACGCTACAGTCAGTCCCTCATTGAGTACCTTTTTGTTCTCTTCTTTTTCACTCGGGCATGTCCTCTTGCTCGTTGGCCCCTAACGTCGGAGATATGGACGGGTAGTGGGTGTGAATGGCTCAGATTTGTCTTTTGCTGGTCTCCCTGCGGTCAGATGACCGACCGCGCGACTCGCCCTTGCTGCAGCACACCCTAGGAGACCTGCTTTCTCACTGCCCTTGGGAGAGCCCCTGACGGTGTTTCGAGCGGTCCATATTCCGCACAAAGCCTTGTCGCGCGTCCGTTTTCTGTTGTTGACGTGGTGACTGTTGTTTGTTAAGCGCGAAATGCTGCCCCCTGTTCTTCTTTATTCAGCTGCTGGCGACTGGGCGCCATCAGATACTCGCTCGCTCGCTTCTCACTCATCACTCACTCACTCACTCACTCACTCACTCACTCACTCACTCACTCACTCAGCCAGTCAGTCACTCATTCACCCATGCACCCCACTCACTCGCTCACTTAACCCACTAACTCACTCCTTACTCACTCACACGTTCACCACTCTTTCTCCCCCCGGTCACTCACTCATTCACTCACTTGTTCACGCACGCACTCACGTACACAGCGTCTTTTCACGCGCTTGGGTGGAGGGCAGGAAGGGACATCTCTATTTATTCCACGCCACGCCACACTTGACCGTCGTCAACATGTGTGCATGCTTACACCACAATAGATTCCCATCGTTGCGTGCGTACGTACATACGCCACTATGTACCTCATCGACATGCGCGTGTGCCGCACTACAATCCCATCGTTAAGCGCATACTTTGGCCCCCCCATTCGTTTGCCAGGTACGCCAACGAGGAGCTACGAGTAACGGCGTCGTCCATCGCAGCGGCGGCAGTGGCCGAGGAACCCGGCATGGGCAGGGGGAGGGTGGCCGAGCTGGGAGCTTGCATGGCCGACCTCATCGCGTCCGACTTCGAGGCCTTAGAGATGGCGGGTCTCAGGTACGGTCGCGACTCCGATATAAGAGGGGGCTTCGTTCGAGTGAAGGGGGTCGGGATCGGTTGTCACGGGCTCTACCCAGTTGGGTACCCTCTCCTACCGGTGTAAGGGGGGGCTCCGATATTGGAGGGTCGAGGGCCTTTGTCAATCCATCCCCTTGTATCAGAGCCACCACTGGTGCGAGCATGTTTTTTCGTTTTCGTCCTCCGGGAAGGCGTATTTTTTGGTGGTGGTGCGTGACCAAGGGGTTTGTTGGCGACAAGCTCACGCGAGCCGTGACTATTGAAAGAGATACATGCCCCCCCCCCTCCCTCTTTTTTTTTTTTGCCGTCGGCTCTCTTCCCACCGAAAGAAGGAAAGGAGGGCGGCCGTGCGCACCCTCAGGTGCTCAGGTGCCACGCATCTACCCGCCTGTGCCCTGTCACATCCTTGTGCGGACGTTCCCGCACCCGTTTTCTAGGGGGGAGGGCCCGAAATGAACGTGTTTGCGAGAACGCGATTTTCTTTGGCGTGGATTCGCAGGTTGTTTGCTGTGGATAGAATTAGTCCAAGTTGGCGCACTTTGACCCCCACTGGAGCAGCAAACGTATTCTCCACGCGTGTTTTTTTTCCGCACGACGCGATGACATAAACCATCATTTTTTCACAAACCCAAACAACGCACCCCCTTCCTCTCCAACGACAACGAACAGCCCGGGGACCCAGCAAGCAGTATTTCGGTCCTTAGACGTAGGTATGGCTCTCTCGGACGTGGCCGCGGCGTGGGCGCTGGTGCGCCAGGACGCGGTGTGCTGGGAGAGCTGTCCCGGCGTTGGCTTGGGTCACTCTGGGGGCCGCCTCATCTCCCTTGGTGATGGGGCGAGACGGGAAGAAACGGAGGACAGCAGGAGCGGTCGACGTGGCAGGAGAAACAGCAGCAGCGGCAGCGTTGAAGGTAAGGGCATCATGCACCATTGGGCATAGGTATTGGTTGGTGTTGTTTCTTTCGGTGTTGCATTGCGTATGATGGGGATCAAGCAGCGGCGGCAGCGTTGAAGGTCAGGCATCGTGCACCATAGGGCTTTTGCGTTGCTTCGGTAATGTGACGATGATTCCCGTCGAGGGGGCGTTTTGATTTGCTTGCACCGTTGCGTCGCGGTTGTTTTCTGCTGGAGAGCTGCGGCGAGCCCCTGTGTAACCCGTTTCTTGCTGGCTGGGAGAACCCGTGTCATAGTTCGTAGGAAGCCGAACGGTCTTCACTCTGTTCAATTTTGATGTCAGATCTGCGCACGTGTCATTGCGCGATGAGAACTGTTGCCCTGATAGGACGCCAGTAACGAACCCCCACCCCCCCAGTACTGGCGGTGCCCCTCATGCGGGCTATATCGGTACTCCGCTCCGAAAGGGATGCTTGGTTGTTGCCCAACGACGAAGGCAAGTAAGAAATATTGGCCTGCTTGCCCCTCTGCTGCCTTGCATGCCGTGGCCGCGGCAGGTCCCGCGGGACGCCCCCGGGGTGATGATGGCGATATTTCTGAAGACCGGGGCGACTCCCGGCGCAGAACGAGAGGGAAAAAAGGCGACTCTAGAGGCGGTAAAAGGGAGCAGCAGCAGCGGCGGCAGGAAGAGGAGAAGATTTTAGTGCACAGAACTGGCGACGGTATGTGCGGTAGTTGCGTTGGAGGGTTTTTGGCTACGGGCTTCGCGGACGGCTTTGAAAGGTTGGAAGACCAAGAAGCCGGGTATGGAGCTTTCGCGGTGTTTATCGTCCGAGTTCTGGATCAGATGCCCTGACAGTGTCACAGGTTAAACTGTAATATCGGCTAGTTGCCACAGCGTTAGGGAGACCGTTGCGTGACTTGTGAGGTACCAGGGCTGTCCGCATCGCACGCATTCCCGGCACGATCGCGTTAAAGAGTAATGAAGAGCTGTGTACAGTAGTGTATCAACCAACGGTCTTCCATCTCGGAGGTTAGGAAATAACTAGGTAGCGCAAGGGGCCCTCAGGGAATACAAACCTCGATTGGACGAGGGTCCCACGTGAACAACACGGTGAATCTGGCGGTCTCCTCGAAGATCGGTCGGAGGTTCAAGTTTCGAGTTGTTTGTAAATTAATCTGGAAGTACGTACGTAGCTCGCATCGAATAATATTTGTGTTGGCTCGGTGTGATGGGCGACGAGACGGTGGGAGGAGGAGTCTTCTGCGGCTGTGGCGAGGAGCCCGAACAAAACAAAGCCAACAAAGAAGTGGACCTGGTCACTCACAACGTGGAGTGGTCAGGGCAGGGAGAGGCAAGGGTGGTGGTGGTGGCAGTGCCGCGCCGGAAGCCAAGTCGTCTACGGACGACGACGCGAGGCCTGCTCGGGTGATTGTGAGCGAGGTGGTTCTTGGCTCAATTCAGACGCCGCCCGAGTATGGGAAGACGCTGTCCGCGGCTGCATAAATCAAGTCTAGACTACGGCTAGGCTTATACCTAATATGCGGGCATTGCTTTCGACATGAATGACCTTCGCGTGCATTAGGAAACGCATAATTTCGCCCGTGCATACTTTTTTTTTGGCGCATAATATCGCGCATATATGGGAATACTGTGCATAAGCGTGGTTATGCTTGCTTCATATTGGAGAAAGGGGTGGATGAGCAGTGAATCAGGCGCCTCCTGTGGCCCCAGCAACTTGAACAAAAACTTGAAAAACGCCTTCGCTGTGAGCAACTTTATCCTTAAACACCATCCATGGTGGAACTTAAGTAAAGGCAGCGGACCTGCGCGGGGTTTTGGGGTTTTGGGGGGTTGACTTTTTTTTTTCCGCGCCAAGAGCCAAGAGAACAGCACAACAGCTGAACAGCTGAACCACAGACCGCAGACAACCAGACCACCGACCAAAGACGAAAGACCACAGCACAGCAGCACAGCACAACTAGCGAAGGCAGAAAGCAGACCGCGATCCACGATATCCGATCTTCACCCATGGCAACTGCCGGATCGATTCTTGTCGTATGGCGATCCTGTGTGACCCTGGATGGTTGTAGTTGTACGAAAAAATGCACTGAAAAGTGTAGTACTCTACATACGCTGGAGAGTGTAGTACCCGTCTCACCACGAAAAAATGAGGAGACTGTCGCCATAAAACTATATACAGAACGAAAACACGCACACACGCTGCAAGCAGCTCGGATGATGACGACCCACAACACCGCACGTCACGCAAGACTAAAAAAGATCAGATGGTTGACTAAAATATCGCTGCTTCTGGAGTTGACACCAGCTACGACTTGTGGGCATTCTGGCATGACAATAGGCAATAGAGAACATTTCTCAATGGTATCAAGTTGCGAAAGACATCGCTTTGCTCCAACCGTCCTCGACGTGTTTTTTCCATCCTGCGTGCTTGTATGGATGCAAGGCAGGAGAGCAGTTTTAGCGACCGCGTGGCTGCATCCGCACTTCTCAAGTACAACAACAGAGGCCGGGGAAATTAGAAACAGGGGAATGGGGGTAAACAGGGCGTGCTAGGAGCTGGGGAGTGGGGTAGCCATGATTGTGGCTGGTGTTCTCGTGTTGCCCGTTCGTCTGTGTGTTGCTTCTTGAGTGCTACTCTTGTTGTTTCGTGCGAAGGAATCAGAGGAGCATAGTCTAGAGCAATGACGCCTACTGTTCGCGGGAGCATTGGCAAGGCAGCCGGAAGGGCGACTCCCGAAACGACTGATGTTCGGCGAACTGGCAGGGGGGGGAAAGCGACGTAGGGGGGGACAGGAACAGAACTGGCCGAAGTGTGTGCTCGACGACCTGAAGGCATTCGGGGCCGACCACGGATCTACGAAAACCGATCCGTGTTGTTTCGGAATCCCGGTACCGAAAGACACGGCTCCGAAGTTAAAGTGGACGGAAGCCGCGAAGGTANAGGAACAGAACTGGCCGAAGTGTGTGCTCGACGACCTGAAGGCATTCGGGGCCGACCACGGATCTACGAAAACCGATCCGTGTTGTTTCGGAATCCCGGTACCGAAAGACACGGCTCCGAAGTTAAAGTGGACGGAAGCCGCGAAGGTAGAGGGGGTAGTACCCTGGCATGCGGC